GTCATTACTGATATAAGAGAGTGTTGTCTTTCTGATGAGCCCTCCCACCTCTCTATTCAAACCCTGGGCCTCCTCTGCATCTTTGTTTTCTGACTGCTTAAAAGCTCCTGGTTGTTTGTACTTCAGGTTAATGGTTTTTCCTTTCCTGTTCATTTTTGTGACATGCAGGCATTTTACCTATATTGTGTGGCTTAATATCAACAAACTGGAATGTCAGGAGGATTGAATAACATATTTCTCTCCCTTCCCCAGGATGCAAATCTTTGGCAGAGTTCACTTAAAGGAATTGAACTGGGTACTGAAGTGGAATTATTACCTGTCCAGTGGAAGTATGCACCCCCATGCTGTTTATGGGTGTACAGGTCAAAATATCTAGGCAAATATTGGGTAACTGAAATGCTACTTCAGCATATGTTCTCCTCCAAATGATTAGGGAAAATATATTGGCTGCCGCAGATGCTACTGCAGATTTGAAACAATCTACTTTCTACACAAATATTTGTTATTATCATTGTTTTCACTGGCGGGAAAAGGGGTAACTGGATTCATTACCTTCTCTTCAACAGTACTAAACGTAGAAACAATGTCACCTTCTGGTATTCTAGATACAATTTTCCACTAATAAAAAGTATAAATATCCTCCGGAGACTCCCCCCCCCGTCAGGGACATGGTGCAAGTCTCAGGCCATGGATATGTGTATGTTCATTGTCTCTTTTTTCACATTTACTTACACAATTGCTTTTTATAAGGTATTGTGCAGTGATGATTCTTAAAGTTTATTATTTAAGAGGCATCACAATTTAGTGTTTGAAGACTCATTGCAGAAAGGTGGGGCATAAATTTTCAATAAATTAAAAAATGTAATTGTGATATTATTACTATTTCACATATATGAAATATATAAGAAATGAAACTACAGATGTTTGAAATACAAAGCTCCATTAATATTTTAAGATGATATAGAAGTTCCTAATGCTTTATATTTTAGGACATGATTGATATATGCTAGATCTAATTGGTTGCAGGAAGTTTCTGGGGGAAATCTTGGCATTGTTTTGACTATTATTTCCGTTTGAAACAGATTATCAATTAAACGTTGGCCTCAGCTTCAGTCTTGGTCTACTTGACTATTATAAAAAGGGGGTCAGTACTTGAAAAAGGTTGGGAAACACTGTACTTATTGAAGGCAAATGAAGTTGATGAGATTTTAGTTGGCTGTATATGGTGCAAGAATATAAATATCACCAGAATGGATATAGCTGCAACCCAAAAGTGAATGTAATAATTTAAAAAGAATTATGCTTCCATTCCGTGATTTGTGCATCTCCTTTGGAGGAATGTGAAAAGCTCATAAAAGAAGAATGAAGATCGGTGTCTTTATAACTATATTGTCATGAAATGCACTTGGTTTTGGGAGATACTGGGAATAACTAGTGATTGGAGATAATGGAGGGAATTTCTTTGCACATGGTGCACCCTTGGAAGAGTTTAGGGCTCATCAGAGGACTTGCACGGCACTTGAAAGAGTTTCTCTAAAGAGAGAAAGACAAGAAAAAGGTTGATGTGTGCTAAGAAAGGAATGGGGCCCAAAGAAATTAGGAAAGAGAAACTTGATGTGCAGCTGCCTTATCATTTCATTCCTTCCACCAGTTGGGTTAAAGAATGCAGCCTTTCTCTGAAGCCAGAAAGACTCCTGCCGTGATCTGTAAGGATCAGACTGTAGATTAGGTTGTAGCCTTCTCATTTGTAATGTAGGAAAGTGCTTCTCCTTACACATGTAGCCAAAACATATTTTGGTTGTCATTTTCCAAGGCTCTGGCCTTTTACTTTTATTTTTTAAATTGCTTAACTTGATAGAGGCCTTGAAAACCTAATAATGCTTTCATCCGCTAGCAAAATCTTTTTTTAACCAACAACAACAGCAGAAACCTCTCCCCCTGACATTTCTGAACAAAACATCAATCAAACTTTGTTAGCTGAAATATATTGCTTCAGTAAGCCATGCTCTGGTTGTTAACTTTTAATGTGAAATATCAGAGTAAGTGTGGCTTGCTTTTGATAATTATTGTAGATAATTATTTAGAACCAAAAACATACAGGAGTCAAAATGCTTAGAGCGCTTTTGCAAAAAAAAAAAAAAAAAAAAAGTAGATATTGTTAGGATTCAAAGAAAAAGTTATTGGCTTAAAAATGGAAACAAAAATTAAGAAGAGACCAAGATTTTCAATGCACTACTTTTTACATGCATTTAATTAATTTGACATTTAAATTAAGACTACAGTGGTGATGCCAGAGGTCATGGTTAAAAACAAAACAAAACAGGTTCTTTTAAAAATAGGCAAACAGTTCTTGTAAGGCTGATTCTGATGTGCAGAATCTGAATATGATGTCAGGATAAGGAAACACATGAAACGAACATTTGAGACTACATCCAGAACTTGGTATCTGGGTCTAGTAGGTGAAACAGATTGTACGCATAGCAGGACCTGGACTAGATAAAGGAGGAAGTTGGCTACAAATTGAGAAGTAGGTTGAGAATAAAACAAGGTTTGTAAATCCTTACTGCTTGAAATGTCAATATTTTTCTCTTCATCTCCAGTGGCAAGATTTTCTTTTCATTTTTGGGTAAAGATTTTCATATTTGCAAGATCAATTTTGCATACATTATGAATTTTTTTTGTGCAGAATGGTAACTGCTACCTTGTTACCTGAATATTTAAAAAGTAGAAGCATTAGATGAGTGTTTTGCTTCTTTTTGGTCAATCAGCCCGTGGTTTTGTGCTTGCTATGTGTTTGGGTGCTTATCTGCACAAAGGTTTTACAGAGATATTTTTCAGAATTTTTTAAAAAGCCAAAACATTATTCTCATACCAAAGAATAGGATAAGAATTCTCTTTTGGTGATTTATCTACATTCTCCCCCAACATGTTAAAGCAGCCCGGATATTTTGCACTTGTTTGTAACATTCGTAATTTATATGTACATTGAGTGTAAATAGAATGATCAGTAACCATAGGCCCTATTTAGGCAATAATCAATGTCGGTTAAAATAGACATGTGAGGAGGAGGAATGCTCTGGTTTCCTCCTTGCACTTTACTACCACTTTCTTCATATGGAGAATGACTTTCTGAAGTGAAGAGCCTCCTCTGTTTGGAAAAGCTTGCCATCCAATACAGAATGCTCCTTGCTTGTGTAAGTGATGTGGAAGGGAGATTTGTAAAATAGATTTGGTGGTGCGTGACAGGAGTGGCAACAGAGGAGTTGAGCTAGTATATCCATTTGCTTGAGGAATTTGTTCTGTATTGAAAATGTCTGGATAGAACTGTAACAATCTAAGATTCACTCTCCATTTCTCTGGTTTGAAAATCTGGGGAAAACAATCTGAAGGTGTAGGTAGCAGAAATTCCTACAAAGAGAAGTTCCAAGAAAGAATTTGATACGGATGGGAAGGAGAACAATTAGAAGTGAGATAAGGTACAATAGATACTGTTCATCTCTATGTGGAGAGCATCACATATACCTGTTCCTGCATGGCATATTAGACCAAATGCTCTGATGCAGTAAGATCGCCTTGGCCAAGACGTACACTCAAGGGGTAATAACCCATGATACATACAAGGCTTGTCTGGATGTTATGCTGTCATAGGTATAAAATATGGATTTACAGTAAATATTGGGTAGTGATGGAGATTATAGAGAGTTCATTTTACTGATCAGCTCCTTAATAAGCAAGTGCTTAATGTAACTTTTGAATTATGATTTCTGGTTTTTTGCTCTCCTACCAAACCAGGACTTGTAGACCAGTAATAAATCATGACTTTAGGTTCTTTAGGTCCTGGCTTATGCTTGTTAGGAAAATGAATAGTCTCCTTGCTATTCATTTGTCCACAAATAGAGTGCAGAATTTCCAGACAATGGTCTATGGGTAGATCAGGCCTCCCCTGTCAGAGGGCTGATATTCTTGGGTTCACTGGGCCACGCCTTTCAGCTGGATAGTACAGAAAGCCAGCATTTTAATACAGTATATACATTATGGAATATACATACACACACACACACACACACACATACAGAGAGAGTTTGTTTGTTGTAGCTCTGATGGTGCTGCTGATCGCATGTGGAGGAGGGGAAATGCTGATAAGGTGTTTAGTTCTTCTTGTATTATTTTTATGTGATGAATTAGAAAGTTGATTTGGGGACACATTGCTGGTTGTGCAGGAAGCCAGAATTGCTCGGCCCATGGACTCCATGAATAGTCTCCTGTTTTTGTGAAGGAGTGTTAGCACATAGCTTGGAACTGTCCAACAGCCTATTACTTTAGTGTTCCTGCCCCTATGCGGTAGGATTGAAGAACCCTAAACTTAATCGGATTGGAAGCTATAGTTGTCAATTAGAAAATGTCACACATCCATCCCCTTTTCCTACCATGGCATTTCATTTACATAGAATGTAGCATCTCAGTCTTGGTCTTCTTCTGAATCAAAATTGCTAACAACACTTCAATTCAGATTTGATTGACTCCAGGGAAACCCTGCTTTGGTGAAAGATTTCTTGAATGCCTCTGGATCAGTTTAATATTTAGATAAAGTACGTCCCTTGAAATGACAGGATTTTTTTCCTCCTTTAATCCATCGGTAAGCAGAAGTTTAACCGGATTTACTCAAAGTTTATCCTGGGGGAGGGGGTATCCTTGTCTTGACATTCCCCCCAAAGCCACTACTATGTTTGATTTCTTTTTTGATGACCCAAGAGAGAATATAAAAAACTAACCACCTTCACAAGGGTAGTCTTGAAGGTCAGGCCAGAAATGCAGAGACAGCAAGCGGAACATTACTGTGCAGTTGCTTTCAATACTGTTAGTGCTGCACTTTTTGAGAACACCAGAGTCGCATTCTCTGTCTTAAAATATGTTGGGCGATGGGGTAAGGTTTTAAACAAGAATAAAGTAAACATGTCTGATGTATATATCTATATTTCTGTTCTTGTTTTGTTTTTCAGGTACGGAAAAATTGTATCCACGAAAGCAATTCTAGACAAAAATACAAATCAGTGCAAAGGTAAGTGTCAGGTGTCCTTGCTGCAGATTGCACGTCAGGTTAATTGACTGGCTTGTGCTGCAGAAGTTCAGACTCTGGCAGTGCAATCATCATAATGTACAATATATTGAAAACATGTTTAATAATGCTAGTGCTTGGAGTTGTACTTCCAGTAACATTGCTCATTAATTTTTTTCATTAACAAACAAAATGAAAATCACAAATCAGAACAACTATCAAATTGTTTCGGCAGCAAAGTAAATTACCTTCTAACCACACAGTGTCATCTGATTTGAACAATATTATTGGTGATACAAATTGATTTCCTATGTAAAGATGTGAATCTTGAGGAAGCTTTCTCAAGGAAAGCCTCATTCCATTCTTTGGCTTAATTCTTAGAAGCCGGGAGAGCACCCATTAACTCTAGTCCAACAGGCTGCTTCTAAAATTAGGACATAGTGAAATTAAAATGAATCCTGGTAACATTTGTAGTTTATTTTCATGTCATGCCTAGCTCTTTAAGATATGACTTGTCTTTAAAATGAAATTATCTTAATAGTTCATCAGAGGTGCACATGTTACACACATACACACTTGCATGCAGAAGATTTCTGGGATACAGTAATGACATTTGTAATAATATGACAATCTGCTCATTTCTACTAGGCAGATGTTTCATGGTAGTTTTGTTTTTTGTTTTTCAGTTAAATTTGCCTCTTTGCTCCATAGTGCTTTTCTTTAACATATACCTTTGATTTCCACAATTAGTCTCTTTTTTTTGAAAGAGCACAATTGATAAATACGAAACTATTTGCTACCAATCATGATAGTCTTAAATGGCAATGATCTTGTTGTTGTTATGTGCTGTCAAGTCAGAATATAGTCTTAAATGGCAATGATATTGTTGTTATGTGCTGTCAAGTCAGAACATACTTATTCTGACCCTAATATGGCTTTCAAGGTAAGTGGTCTGACCCTAATACGGCTTTCAAGGTAAGTGGGGTACTTTAGGAGTGGTTTTACCAGTTCCAGTCCCCCAGTGGGTTTCCACGGCTGAGCAGGGATTCAGACCCAGGTCTCCAGAGTCCTAGTCCATCCCTCTATCCACTAAACAATGCAATAATACTAAGAAATAGGGAGATTGCAGGAAGGTAATGATGTAGATTTGTGTATTTTGTTCTTCCATCTAACATGCCCCCAAATAGACCGAGTTTCAGGTCTGGACTGTATTATCCCCTAGACATCTCTGCCACAATCTCTGCCTTTTCCCATGCCCTGCTCCACACTTACTAAGGTAAATGGAATGACAGTAAAGGGAACCCATAAGCCATCATATCTGGGAACTGGGAGTACCATATACAAACATTACTGTATTCGTTGAATAGGGAAATATGGGAATGTTTTCATGTGATTAATAGCCTCTGATCCCAACAAGCATAAGGCTAAATCTGAGAACTCTCTTCTGAAGCTGAGACTTGCAATTATTTTTGCTTTTGGAAAAGTGGCATAGTAAGGTGGGGGGGGTTAGTAGAACTTGTGGAGATTCCTTTGTGGACATTGATATTGTTAAGAGCACAATGGATTGCAGGTCATTATGCACTGAGATTAAATCAGTTGCTATGTTTCTGATATAATTCAAATGTACTTATTGGAGGTGCACATGTTCTGAAGAAAGGTGAATAGAGGGAGTTAACCTCCAGCATACTTGTGAAGGCAACACATTAGAGGTGTCTTTAAATGCAGACGTGCATTTATGTGAATGCCTGTTTATTGACGGTTTTAAGAGCTTCCTCTCTTAATGTAGTACAGATTGACCATCCTTAAATTGTACATTTGCTGTCATTTGGGTTTTTCTGATTTATTAGTTGTGGTAGCTTTATTTGTTTACAGATTAGATAAGGCATCCTTCAGTCTCAATAGACCATGCTAACCTGATCTGAATAGAGGACTTGGAACAGCATCTAGTGTGACTGAGAAGGCCAATTTGAGAGTGACAATCCCTTCCACACTGAAGACAAATACAATCTGTCCCCTATCCAGCTCCCTGATTATGCTTGTTTCGGGACTGCCTCTTTGCCTCAGCCTGCTGGACAAGGGTCTCTTCAAATTGGGAGAGGCTATGATGCACCACCTGCCTCCATGCTGAACACCATGCTTTATATGTGGTGTTAGTATTTAGTATATTATTTAAGGTTTATGTTATATGTTAGGTTTGTTTTACTTTGGATGTAAACTAATAGTGTTTACTATGAATCAGTGCAATATAAATGTTGAACAAACAAATCTAATAATGTGCCATCAAGTCAATTCTGACTTTTGGTGGCCCTCTTCAGGATTTTCTAGGTAGAGAATACTCAGAAGTGGTTTTCCACTCCCTTCTTCTGGGACTGCCCTGGGACTGTGCAATTTCCTCAAGGCCACATAGGCTGGATCTGTTTGCAGGAGGTACAGTGGAGTATCAAACTCCAAACCTCTAGTGCCCTGGTCATATTTAAAATGGAAGATAGCAGTGTGAGTGGAAATGTAGAGATGAGTACTTGATAGTGTAGTAGTGAGTGGAACCCAACCTTGCCCTTTTTTCCTCAGTTTCTCCTCAACAGAAATGTGGTTGCTCAAAAAGACCTTTAGAGGATGATAAACATGGATAAGAGTGGGTTGGTGGGAATGAGAAATTAACATATCATGTCTTCACAATTCCTTGTGCAAATCCTCTTGACAGAGTTCTGTTGGTGTAAACTAGTTAGATGTGTGAGAAATACGTAATTAATATAAAATAATGAAAAACTATGCTATCCCCCTTTTTAAGCTTCTGATGCTCCATAGAGTTTCATTTTTCCCCCCTGGGAAAGTGTTGGAAGGGAGAGGGACTTTTCATAATAATAATAAAAAATAACCACCAGTCTTGGTTCCAGTAGTAATAATCTCGTATCAATGTTTAATTTTTTAGATTCTCCCAAATGATTCCCTATGGAGCCTCAGAAACTGAAACAGGGAGATAGGGAGCTTTAAATTAAAGTAATTATTTACGATGCTACATTCTGGTTTACACCAGTGCAAAGTTACACAATAAGATTTTGCTCTTTGATTTATACTGTAACTACCAAATGTGAGGATCCAGGACTGCCACCATTAATAGTACGCATCCTTCAGTCTCGAGAGCCTATAGTAATGTGCTCTGAACAGAGGTCTTGGAACATCTAGCATGGCTGAAAAGGTCAATTTGAGAGTGACAATACCTTCCACACTAAAGACAAATACAATCTGTCCCCTGTTCAGCTCCCTGATTATGCTGGTTTTGGGACTGCCTCTTCAATCTGTCTCTTCAAATTGGGAGAGGCCATGCTGCACTGCCTGCCTCCAGGCTGAATGATCAGTTGTCAGTCCTAATCACCACCCTCTATGATTCTGTGGCCAATTGTGTATCCACCTGTCCTAATTACCACCCTCTATGTTTCTGTGGCCAATTGTGTATCCACCTGACACTTGATCTATCTAGCCACACCTAGTTAGCTTGCTAATCAGGATATCATGGGGCACTTTGTCAAAGGTTTTGCTGAAGTCAAGATATACTATGTCTACAACATTCCCTCTGTTTATCAGGGAGGTTACCTGATCAAAAAACAAGATCAAATTAGTTTGGCAGGATTTGTTCTTGACAAATCTGTGTTGGCTTCTAGTTATTGCTGCATTGTTTTCTAAGTGCTTGCACAATGACTGCTTTACGATCTGTTTCAGAATTTTGCCTGGGATTGATGTCAGGCTGACTGGCCTGTAGTTCCCATGTTCCTCTTTTTTGCCTTTTTAAAAAAGATAACGCCATTAGTTCTCCTCCAGTCCTCTGGCACCTCACTCATTCCCCATGATTCATTCCCCATGATTTCAAGAAAATAATGGACAGCAGTTCTGAGAGATCTTCAGCCAGTTCCTTCAGTACTCTCAGATGCAGTTCATCCAGACCTGGAGAATCTGAACTCGTTCAAGGTGGTAAGGTATTCCCTGACTATTTGTTTATCAATCTCCAGCTGAAATCCTGTCCCCCCCACTTGCACTTCCAATTTGTTTGGAAGTTCATAGTCTGTCTTATGGGAAAAAACTGAACTAAAATAGGAACTGAGCACCTCTGCCTTTTCTTTGTTCTCTGTTATCATTTTTCTATCTCCATTGCGGAGCTGTGCCACTATGTCTTTTGTTTGTCTTTTGCTACTCACATACCCGAAGAATGCTTTTTTATTGCTTTTAGTGTCTCTAGTTAACCTCAGCTCATTCTCAGCTTTTGCCCTCCTAATGCCGCCCCTGCAGTTTCTTGCTACTTGCCTGTACTCATCCTTGGTGGCCTGGCCTTCTTTCCACTTCCTGTATATGTCTTTCTTGGTTTTTAGGTCCTCCCTGAGCTTTTTGTGAAGCCACACTAGCCTTTTTTTTGCCACTTCCCACCTTTTATTCTTGTTGGAATTGTTTGTAGTTGTGTGTTTAGAATTTTTTTACAAAAAGCTCCTACCCTTCTTGGGCTCCTTTACTTGTTAGAATCTCCTGCCATGGGACATTATTTATCCTAAGATTATTATAATTGGCTTTTTAAAAATCCAGCAGAAGTGTGTGGCTACACATTGCTTTTGTTTCCTTTGGAATCAAGAATTCTAGAAGGACATGGTCACTCTCGCCTATAGATCCCCTTACTGCCATTTCGCCCACCAAGTCATCTCTATTGGTCAGAATCAAGTCAAGGATAGCAAACCCTCTAGTTTCTTACTCCACTTTTTGTAGGAGAAAATTATCAGTCACAAGAGCCAGGAATTTCTTGGAAGGGCCATACTTGACAGATTTTTCCTCCCAACATATATCTGGATAATTGAAATCTCCCATCAGTACTGCATCATGTCTCTTTGAAAACCCTGCAGTTTGTTTTTCAAAAGTTTTGTCTGCATCCTCTCTTTGATTGGGTGGTTGGTAGTAGACTCCAACTATGAAGTCCCTTTTGTTTTTTGCTCTAACTAGATTGATCCAGATATTCTTGATGGGAC